TATATATATATGTGTGTGTGTGTGTGTGTGTGTGTTGTTTGTTTATTATATATATATATATATATATATATATATATAAGTGTATGTGTACGTGTATGTGTATGCGTGGATACGTGCGTGTCTATGTATTGAGAGATTGTATACAGCTTGTACGGTGCCCGGAGCAGACCCGACCTTGTAAACTGAAAATGTGTGAGACTACAAGGCATTGCAATTCGATGTTTAATCCAGTTGTGATCCATTCGGCTTATCTCAATGAGCACGTTGGAAAATTTATCAATACTTCAGCATTTCAATAATTAAGTATTTCAATTATTCAGCTTTCTGAACTACCCGCGTGATCCTACGCTCGCCATTTCCCATTCTAGCCATTGTACAGTCCATGCATTCAGTATGTGAATCTGGTACCTTTAATTCGCATACGACCGCTTTTATCCACACGTAGTGTTCGAAAACAACATGAGAATTCGAAAGGAGCTCAAAGCGACACGCTACGAAACTCGGATGCCACGGTTACGACAGCCGCTTAATGAGCGCAGGCCGTTGCTGAAGCTGAAGTGGACGCATAAACACACGCTGAAACTGACCGATAACTTACCAGGAATCTTGAGACAGCTGAAAGACCTCGACCTTAATAATAGGTCCGTTTCCAAATCAGTTCGAATTCTATTTCTTCTTTCACCACTCGAGGTCTTAGGGTTTAGGGTTTAGGACCAGAAGCGCTAGTACTTGCACTAGCCTCGTCCGTGGCGATGGGTGTGCGAGTCACCTCTATCACACCCAGCACTTTTTCCCACAGAAACTTGTCCAAATGTGTTTCGGATCTCGCACGGACCCTAGTCTCACCCTCAGTCTCAAATCGCACCACATCGTACTTTGCGGCCTCAGTCAACTTTACGCGCTTGCCCACCTCAGACAACGCCCTATTACCGCCGGGTACCATGGTTGTCACAACAGTCCTCACGTCCCGGTCGTGCAAGATCTGCGTAATCCGTTTAATCTCTTGTACTACATGCGTGTATTCGGCCAAGGTTGGGGCACTAGAATCTTCAAACATCAGCTGGGAGATCTGTTTACGCTCGCGCTCCAGGGTCTCATTCTTGCGCCTGAGCTCCGCGGTCTCGGATTCTGGCGTCGCCGAGCCCACGAACCGCACACGTACAGGTATATTGTGTCGTCTCATGTCCGCTGCGGTCCGCTGCCAATTGTTGAGTCGATCGACGACCGTCTTGCTTGTTACCCCGCTGTTCTGGGTGTACGCTGTTGTTGGCGCAACGTACTCCTGTGTGTTCATGGACAGGACTGTCTCGGCCATCCTCTTCACCCAGTCCATCATCGATGTGTAAGGCACCTTTTTGCCGAGCGCACCATACAGATTCGCGCTGGCCCCCTCTAGCGCGTTATTGTGGTCGGCAGACGCAAAGTGGTCCGATGTCGCCTTGTAGCACCGCGCCCAGTTGCGCTTAGCCCCCGCCATGTACTCACGTCGAAACTTTTCACTAAAGGATGTCACCTTCCACTCCGAGCTGGGTCTGATGATGGATTTGGTGCACTCGGAGTGGAAGGTGACAT